TAGTTTAACGCAGAGTTCGGTACATAAATAACCTAAGTCCATAAAAGGTACTCTTTCGCCCTAATGCTCATATTGTTTCGATATATCATAATATAGTAGGTACTGTGTTAATCCAATAAGTGAGTTAATCGTAATAAAGAATTCCGAATATATCGATTCACAACCATCTTCTTAAGACCTCCTTCCAAACTCACTTTAAGTTTATTAGATACGTTTAGATGCTGACAATACTTGCATGAATATAACACAACTACTTCATTCTAATGTTATAATAACATTTTAATCAAAATTTCATTTATTTCTAAGAAGTAAATTTTCATATTAAGTTTTATTTTTGAAGAAAATAATATAAAACTCAAGAATAACGTTTATTTTTCAAGCAAAAATATAAAACTTAAAAATGATTTTTATTTTTCAATGAAAAAAATAAAACTCAAAAATAATTATTTCTTGAACAAAAAATAAAAATCGAGTAATAAGTTTTATTTTTGAACAAAAAAATAAAACTTAACATTAAGTTTTATTTTTGAGGAAAATAATTTTTGCTTGAAAAATAATTATTAAAATTTAAGTTTTATAATAAAACAGTTGTCTCTGATAAAAAGCTCTCCTTTCCTAGGGAAATTGTAAATGTAGCTAAATAAAAACTCCTATAACTTCCAAACCCATTGAGATCTCATTCTAAAATTGACATAGGAATAACAATACGTTTGACTATTTGTCATAAAAAAAATAAGAAAAACAAAATATCCTTTTTTAAGATATTCAATGATAAATGACATTTTCCACTATATGGTCCTTGCGCCAGGACTTCATGCAATTTTAATGAAACTAGAGTTCGCCCAGCGGTCGAAATTCGACCAGAACCAATGCTGGAAAAATTCAATAATTAGCTAAAATAAAACCCTATTTTTGTAGTTCAAATCTGTGGTAAAAAATTAACTTTATTGATATTATCAAAGTGTATAATTTGCTTTGAATAATGTTTTCTTTTAGAAAATGTGATGGGTTTTAGTAAAACTTCCATCAGAAGTTTAAAACCTCAATTGTCAAAATTAGTTATACAACTTGTTTTACAAAAGTATTTCAACTATTTTAAAAATAATAAAAAATAACGAACATTTCTTCTATCGATTTATTATCCCCTACATATTTACGCATCGTTCACAATGCTGGAGTACTCTACTGTACAGTGTACACACCAGTAAAGAAATGTTAGCTGTTCAAAATACAGAGTTGAAATGTTCTAAATAATAAAAATCGGTAAAACACCATCAAACATGTTTATAGAAAATATTTCTGACGATTTCGAATAATATGTTGACGATGATGATTTTTCATCCAAATCAACTGGCAACTATGCCTCCTGATTACACAAAGGTAATCTAATAAATTCTCCTTAATAATGTGTTATATAATTGCATTATAGCCATTTTCTCCGTGAAGCTGTAAAAACGGAATACGTTTTTTCATAAGATTTGCTAAAGGGTTTAACAAATGATGTTTCGTTTGACAGGTCTTCGATTACTCGTTTTTGAAATTTTATTAAAATTACATGAAGTCCTGGCACAAGGACCATATAGTGGAAAATGTCCTTTATCCTTGAATATCTTAAAATCGGATCTCAATGGGTTTGGAAGTTACATTAGTTTTTATTTAGCTACATTTACAATTTCCATAGGAAATGAGTGCCTTTAATACATTTATGATCTAATAAATTAAGGTTTTAATGCCGAATAAAGTAAAAATTACCACAGACCATCAAATTAATGTCCAAGTTTCATTAATTTCGATTCATCATTACAGCTTCTAATTTAATTTAAAAATTTACATTACAAGCGATCGCACTATGGTTCAGAGAGAAACTCTGGAGCGAAAAGTATAATTAAATAATGATATGCTGTTATTACTATTGGCTGTATATAAACTTATCACAATTACGTTTGTAGTTCAAAATATATTGAGGTTAGAAAACCATATCTTAAGTGAACGAAAAATGACTATAACTCCAAAACTGCTGATAATACGAAAAAATTGTCTGAAACCAAAATGCCGTAAATTTGAATTTTGTAATGACACCTAAATCCGTGGGATGTAAGTTAAGAAAAATAAAATTGTTACAAATAATTAATAAAAATTCATTTACTTACCATTCAATAAATTGCTGACTAGTGTTTTATAATTTAAGCAATAGTTCATTTACTTACCTTTTGTAAATTAGCTGACAAATGTCTGCAATATCAAATTTGCTTTGAATAATGTTTTCTTTTAGAAAATGTGATGGGTTTTAGTAAAACTTCCATCAGAAGTTTAAAACCTCAATTGTCAAAATTAGTTATACAACTTGTTTTACAAAAGTATTTCAACTATTTTAAAAATAATAAAAAATAACGAACATTTCTTCTATCGATTTATTATCCCCTACATATTTACGCATCGTTCACAATGCTGGAGTACTCTACTGTACAGTGTACACACCAGTAAAGAAATGTTAGCTGTTCAAAATACAGAGTTGAAATGTTCTAAATAATTTGTGAAAACAGTAAAAATATTTAAAATAAATAATGTCTTATCTAATTATAAATAAATTTTATTTGGATGTCATTAGTAGTCCATCCAACAGGTATATGCTTTATAAATTTTCCCTTATAACACTCGACAAAGACTTCAGCAGACATACATTTATTCAATTTTAATGTCTTCTAATAGAATTTAATAGTAGATATTCTATGAGGCCTTCTAATGGGCCTTTTATTAGCCTTCATATAGAAACGCATAAGGATATGCATTGGCTTCCAATTACACACTGATTTTGTATATGCATAATAGGACCTTCATTTCTCAAGTACTGTTTTTAGTACTTTTTGAAAGAAAACATTAATAAACTATAAATTTCAGTCTTTTGTTAATATATGCAAGTTTAATAGCAAGTAAATGAATAATAAACGATAAATTGCTAAGTACGGTTAAACACTCTTCATCCCAAAAGACATGATTTATATTTAGCAGTTTCAACTTGTATCTATTTTTATATAACAAATAACCATCACATATTCAACTTACAGTTTTCACTTTACACTACTATTTCCTAATTGGTTAGAATAGCCCAAAAAAAGAAGAATATCATCAAGTCCTCGCTGTGCTAAACCTGCATATAAGCGATATACATATCCATTTATTGCGGTGTATCATACACCGGCATGACCAACTAAACTTTACTTATATTTTTTACAGGCTATTTTTATTTCTTACTGACACTGAATCAATTCGTTAATCCATAATTTAAATCTTCCAAATCAATCAAAACTAATAATTATGTACCGCAATTCAGTATTTTTTTAACTACAACATTTTGTTGTTATGTGGTATGTATTCTGAACTTCATTTCACCGATTTTTTTCGTTAAACATAATCGAAAAAATAAAAAATAAATTAAAAGTTCACGTTAATAATTTTATATTTTAAAAATATTTCAATACATAACTCTTGACATTCTTATATTTTTCCGACATTTGTCTTTAAAATATTCTGCGGTTGTTAAAAAGTTAGGGAAATTCGTTAATGTAACTGATATTTGTCATTACTTTTAGATATTAAAAAAAAAAAATTACTGAATTCCGGTACTGATGTCCTACCAATAATTTTCCAGTTCAAACACCAATATCAGTACATTGTTTGGCATTTCTTTAGGTGTCCCCAAGCATTATTTACGCATGTTTTTATATTCCCAGTTCGTTGTTTCCTCGGGAATGTCCTTCAATTTAACTATTTTGAAAAGTTTAAATAACGAAAAACTTCTAATCGAAAACTCTGAATATAAAACTGAAGTCCTACTTCTTATAAAAATATTCCTTTCGATTTGGTAACAATCGTAACGATATTATAACAAAATAGATCATTATCTCATTCACAATTTAGCACTTTACACAAAAATATAAAACAATAAAATCCTATTTTCGCATTGCCTAAGCCTTATTAAAAACAACAACAAAAACAAATATCATGCAAAATACAAAAATCAAACAGCAACAGAGAAGTTAAACGTTTCTGCACTCTCCTCTCTTTTTTCAAAATGCCGTGTTGTTTAGTTTTTTTGTTTTGTTTCTTGCTTTGTTTGTTTTTAATTTCAAGAATACGTACGTGTGACTATTGTTTCTATGTATTAGTAACAACTTTAAACTCTTATAGCTCCTAAAATTCTGAACCGATCTCATTAATATATATACATCTGCGAACAAATACCTTTAAAATGATATAATTTTTGCCAAGATCAGATGTATCCTGTAAGAGTAAAAGGGGTCACAAGAAATCGTCTTGCCTATTAATTATATAGATGCCAAAAACGAGTAATCGAAACATCATTTGTTAAAATCAGATAACTGGTTCCAAAGTTATTCAGTCATCAACATTTCTAATTTTGAACAAAAAAATACCCGAGGTGCCCTATTTTAGAGGCCCATAAAATATGAACCGAATGAGATAATTTGGAAAATTTGAAGTTGTCGTGACATCATCGTGTTAAAAGAATGACTTAAAATTCTACTGCATAAGTAAATTTTAGCATTTTAATCCCTTACTTGGTATTGAAAATTCTTGATGTGTAATTTAAATTTTATAGGTATTAAAAACCCGAAATATAGACACGATCAGCCAAAAAATCCCTACATGAATGAACTTGAATAAGTATGCTCTATTTATTTTGTTTATCTTTTAATAACACAGCAAATGCAGAAACAATTTTTTTAATTTTGATCCAAAAAATGGCGTATTTAAGCATATACTTCCGGAAGTTTGAATTAAGAAAACTATAGGTAGGTTTAAGGAGGACAACATATACATATTTGTGTGAGTTCTCAAAACCGAATACCTGAATCATAGTGAGCCTCAGCATGGTACATTGGCCAATGCCATAGCCTCGAATATCGTATTGATTCGCCATAGCAAATATTTTTTTTCGGAAGATATTAAAATAATTATGTTTTATGCTTTCATTTTTTCAGAGCAAAATACGATGGATGGGACCTAAAGCTCCACCATATCGGGTAAAACAAGGTGTGCCAAAGTTGTTAAACGATTTACTAGATAGCTTTTTGCCAAGCGGTCTAACTCAAGAACAAAAGCTTTCAGAAAATGAAGCTATTTCAACATTTATAAAGGAATTGAACAAAGTAAGTAACACTGTTTATTTTTTCTTCAAAACATTCTTGGATTTAAAGAAAAATATGCACCATTAATAATGCAAACCTCAAACTTAATAATAAATAATTACGAAGGGTTTTAAATATTATATAATCTTAATTGAACAACTCTTATTTGTGTTTGTGTTATTCGTTCTGAACAGTCACACCGGGTACCAATTTTAAAGTTTTTTACACTGACTCAAATAATTAAGTATTAAAAAACATATTTTGTAATATTTTCTAAAGTATTTGTCCGAATAAATTTTCTAATTGCAAAATTCATCATATATGTATGTATATTAAAAAGAGAAGCCTAAACGATTGGGTGCATTTTCCGGTTCTATTACTTGACCGATGTTCTTGATTATTTTTTGTTTAATACATATTAGCTTACTGCAGAATCTATGTACATACTTATATATGATCAAAACCGATTCAGTATTTTGATAGATATAAGCGTTTAAAGATTCTACCAATACTCTATCATCAGTGTGACCAGGTCTCAAAAAATGTTGCGACTAAATCCCATCCAAAATAATGATAGAAAAAATGCTAAATTGATTTTAAAATGCCAAAAAAAAATGCTAAAATTTTTTAAGTGTTTTTATGAACAATTCATATTAATTTGTAACTGAAATTCATTGTAATTTATATCAAGTAAGAAAGTATATTCTGCCGTGGTTAACCATATGAGTATAAAATTTGATTTATTTTTCGTAATAAAGCATTTATGTTGAATTGAACCTTGGTTACGATATATTTAAACTAATTTTCTGAGAAAGGCTTTATACATTTGTATATGTATGGGGGCTAGGTAAAATAAAGGACGGACTTTAACCATTTTTAAAAAGGTTATGTCATTAAATTCCGTGGTATTAAGATAAACAGAAATGCTAAAAATTATTTCAAAATTTTTTTTAGCAATATGTAATGTCTCTAACTTTACAATATTTCTGAATGCAAAAATTACATTAAAACTCTATTAATTACACTAGTTGCTCATGGTATAAAACCTATATGTGTTTTCGAAAGGAAAAGTATAATATTTCTAGTTTTACTTTTTTATATAAACAATTTTATTTGTCTTCCTCAAAACACTTTAAAAGTGGTTTTCATGTCACAAAAATATTGAAAATTCCGTTGAAATAATTTTAAATCTCGGTGAATAGATGTCAGGTTTATAACTCATACTTCCAAGATTTTTTCGGAAAAATATATATGAGAATGTATGAAATGAATTGAGAGATATATTCAAATCCGTAAGTTTGTAATTCTGGAATAAATCGTCAATAATATTTTCGAAATTTATGTATTTTTTTAATTAAAAAAAAAAAAAAAAAAAAACGTGACAACAAAATTACTAAAAACTTGGTAAAAATAAAAAGAACAGAAAGTAGGATGAGAAAGTCTTAATTATATATTATTGATTTTTTTCAATACTTATTTTCAATAAATTAACAAGAACTCCAGAAGAATGATAAAAATTAAAACCTCTTTATTTCGTATAGGAAAAAATAAAATTTGTTAATTAACCGTCATACATAGCCTTTTCCAAAATTATATGTTTCATTCCATGAGCAAACAAAAAGTATTAGTTTGTAAAATAGCGTACTGAACGTATTTGTAAAAATATATGAAATCTCTGGAATTATTTCTATCACCTCGAATTTAAAAAAGCATTGGGTTCCAGAAAAATATTCTAGAATACAACATTTTAAAGTATTCACTTGTATTGGTGTAATTTTAAGTTACTTATCTTCATGAATCTTTTTGCATTATTTTGAATTACAGTATAAATTATTACATTTCTCATATTTCTTGTTGCTTGTGTTTGGGTAAACATTTAATTCTGATTTTTTCCGGTTAAACCTATTTCCAATATAAATCTTTTCTGCAAAAATTTGTTTTTTTTTTGTTTATATACTAAAATTGCAAAAAAAGCTAAAAATGCTAAAAATATTTTATAAAAATGCTAAATAAAATGCCAAATGCTAAATTAAAATTTTACAGCTAATTCAAAATAAAAAATGCTAAATCTAGCTGCAAAAATGCCAAAATGGTCACACTGTCTATCATACAAACTTGTACTTGAATTAAAACAATAGAAAACACAAGAAGGAAGAAAAAAACAACAAAAAGCTAAACAACAAGAGAAAATACAAAAACATGTTACTTCTCTGTTGCAGTTTTGTTTTTGTATTTTGCAGTGATATTATTTTTTTCTGTTTTCAATAAGGGTTTTGTAGACCAGGGGTTCCCACCGTTTTTCTTCTCGAACGCCTTGAGGAATTTATTTAATTTCGCGGACTCCCTTACATATCTCATTGATAATTTATCGTCTGAAAATTGTGTTTCTTCTACAGACCTAGTCTATAAATCTCCAGTTCGTATAAAAGTAGATATATCACATCTATTAAATATTCCCGTACATTCATAATATTTAATATATCAGAGAGGTTTCAATTCAGAGGGCGAAGTGGACCGGCTTCGAATCGGCGCTTAGTCGACGCCGAACTATATTTAGTTGCTTGAGCCGCCGCCGAAACACTCGGCTTAAGTCGACTCAAATTTTTTAATGTTTTTATTAACTTGGCTATAGACTGTAAGATCAATTATTTTTGATTCTGTAACATTATGAATTATTATTGGCCAAATTATATTTTGAAAACGTATAAGATTTTTACAAAGGATATATGTAACAAGCGATATTTTATAAATTTCAATACTCCCGATATGTATATCGTTGTTATATTTTTTATATGAACGTGATCACATTAATGCATATATTTATTTCGATGAATATATTTTTTTTTAATTAATTTTAATGTTTTTCTTATTTTTTGTAATTGGTTGCAATAAGTTGTTCCGGAACTATTGTGCTAAAATTTTTTTATATTAATTATATTTTGCAAAAAAAAAACAAATATTTAAAAGATATGTAAATGTATGTCTTGTTAATTTAAATATTTTTTTATTTGTTCCCTTATATGGCTCCACAATTTCTTCATTAAGATTCCAGAGAGTTTAAATGAGAATTAAAGTAGACTAAATCTTGAAACTTTTGAGCCTTTTTTAAAAATCATTTATTATTAATATTTTAAGCAAAAGATCCTCCCAGTCTTTAAATTTTGATATTTACATTATTTTTGAACATAAATTTAAGAGTTTAAATTTCCTAAAAAACGTTCGGCTCTGAGCCGACTTTATGCCGCCGCCGAATTATTTTGGCTCAGCCGCCGCCGCCGACAATTTTAAGTCGACTTCGCCCTCTGTTTCAATTGCATGGTTTAAAAAAAAGAATGACTGCTTTGATGAAATGTTAACATTATGTTTAATTTTATCGAGAGAACTGTAATTTTCTCGTTCATTTTATGCATTGTCAGCATAAAATATCACTTAAACTCTTTGTGAAAGAACTGTGAATTTAATGCCTTTAGTAAGCTCCGAGTTACATCGCTTTACCTATTAGAACTTGGCTGTTGAAATTTGTCACCATGTTTTTTTTTCAATTTTTAATTTTTTTACAGTTTTTTTGACTCTTATAAAATACAGAAATTGAGATAACAGTGGGTAGCTGATGTAATTATATACATTTTGGTATATATCTCGTTGATGTGCCCTGAATAACAAAAGTTAGAAAACTTGAACGTAATTTTTTTAAAATATCAGTTTATGGAGCGGCACACTCGCACTTACATATATAGGAAATAATTTGAATTATTGCGTAAACTGATTTTTTTTATTTTGAAATATAAAATCGGAGGAGCATGCAGAAATATTCGAATGCAAAAATTTTATCAACTTTTTAAAAATTTTGCAAAATTCCATTTTATTTTTTTTTTTATTTTTGTGGTTTTATATATCAAACAACGACTTATACAAACATTTAATGAATAGAAATGAAGATGATGTTAAACACAATGGATTTGGGTCATAAATGCATTTAAAATGTCCTTGTAAAGTATAGAGACGTCACTTTTATCTAAACACATTTTGCAAAGGCATATATGCACGATGCTCAAAATACGTCAAAATTATCAGCATTTGCAAGTTTTTTAATACTTTAATGTATAACTGGCACGCATCAAAGAATTAAAATAATTGTAGGTTTCGTGGGCCAAATAAAATGTAAATTATTAAATTATAATTTTTTAATTGCATTCCCTTTCTTGACAAAAAAGAAAAGGCCCTATCTACAAAAACATTTTTAAATTAAAGGTAAAAAGTCAAATTTATTCATTTTTATATACACCATTGTCAACTATCATAACAAATGATAGGTTTCACTATTAAACAATTTATTTATTTACTACAAATAAATCGTGTTGATAGAAACAAACTTTTCAATTTAAATAGTTTTTTGCTTCTCCTGTAAAATTTTAATATGTTAGATAGGGCCGTTTGCGTTTTAGGTGATGATATGTGTGTAAATAATGCTTGGGGCAAATCTACATATGCCAAAAATGTACTTGAGTTTGTGTAGTTTGTAGTTCTGATTAAATACCGTTTAAAATTGAATACCGGTATTAATACCGATACCGAAGTAAGTTTATAAACCAATAATTATCGGTATAAATACCGGTATTCAAATTCAATAAAATGTATTAAAAAACTACAGATCATTACCAAAACATGAAACATTATGGAGGGTATGTGTTTATTTTTTTTTTTTTAATTACATAATAAAGAAGAAGATGTCATAGACCCACAAAAGTGTACCATGTATATATTCTGGGTTCGTTTTAAGATGATCTGTAAAACATCATCAGCCCAAACGGAAGAGCATTTAGAAATTTCAGTTGATTCAATTAGCGTGTTATTGAACATAGGCAATATCAGCCCATAACACAAGTCAACAAAATCGAACTTTTTGCGTGCCTTTTAAATAAAAATATTTAATTTCTACGTATTTCCACCCGCTGAGTTCAAAAATCGCTTAGATATTGCGATTTTCGTACAGACATTGTTTACGCCACTTTTTGGAAGTT